CGTGACGACACGCTACTCCGTCGAGCCGATCGTCTTGTGCTCTGACTCGCGCAGCTGCTCGGGTGCCGTAGCGCCACGGGACTAGCGGGCGTTGTCGCCTTGAACGTCCGCCGCTCCGTCGGGGGCCGCATTCGCGACACAAGGGGGTGGTGTTGCCGGACGCGGGCCAGTTTGGCCGCAATGTCCTGTGTGCTTGACGTCGCCAGGTGAGTCGCTGTTGAGGGAGGTGGGTTGTTGCTGCGCGGCATGAATCGGGACCGCAGGTACCGGAACACAAGCTTCATGTCCAGGTCTCTCTCCCATTCCTCTTGCGTAAACACGTTGCTCATATGGGTATCTTGCCGTGGTGCCTGCACCGGCTCGGCTGGTGGCTCCGCGGTCCTGCCGCGAATGTCGATGGGCTGAGCTGCTGTCTGCATCGTAGGCTGGAACTGAGGGAACGATGTTTGCTCGGGTTTGGTGGGATGAATGTTATCCGCCGCTGAGTGTGACGTGTTGGATTCCGGGATGATGGGGAGGCCGGCATACGGGAGAGGCATTTGCTGGACCCGCGAGTATGTGGAAAAGGCGCCAGGGTGGTGAGATATCTGGCTCACAAGCATTCCCAACTCCTTCGATATCTTCTCCAAAGCGTCCAGTTGCCAAGCCTCTCTGTTTGTGGGTGGTGGGGGTTGCACCCCGAGCTGCTGCGAGGCGCGGGGTGTTGATGATAGATCCTCGTCGTCCTCAGGTACGGCTTCTCCCAGCAGGATAGAAATCATTCGCTCATCCATTCCAATCACATCTCGCATGAATTTTCTCGTCATCTTGGTGAGGATACCCTCCGAGTGGGTCGGAGATCCAATAGCATCTTCGTCGTGCCATGTCATGTTATCAGATTCAGCATCGTGGGCAGGTTGTGAAGGCAGCGGGATTGGGTTAGATATTGAGCGCTTGTGAGATGCCTGTGAGAGTCGTCTTCGTCTTGTCTCGCGCTGAATCTCGCCCAAGAGCACACGGCTGTGCTCCAATCGCCAAGCCTCGATTCTCTGGCGCTTCTCTGACTCTTCAACATGGTCATTCTCCACGTCGAGCTGCCTCAAGTCAAAACTCTCCTTTCTCCGATGTTGCCGCTTGGGGTTGAAGCGTTCAAATTGGTATATTTGGTCTTGGGCGTCAGCACCCAAGGTCGGCTGGTCCAGATGGAAAGAACCAAGTCCATCGTGAGCGGGGAAAACGGGCATAGACCCTTGGTTTTCATCCTGCTGAGCGTTGGGCCCGGGAAGCGATCGGAACTCTGGCAAGTGGCTGTCGAGGCTATCAAGCTCTGCATCGTCCTCTTCTTCAACAACAGCGGATGCAGAGGCAGATGGTCGCAACTCGGCCTCGACCTCCGATCTCGCGACCGAGTTCAAGCTTCCCAGATCACCCACTCTCGACCGGCCGGGCGTCACCAGAGACTGGTCAGTCTCGGTGAGGTACGACGTGGTGGTCACGTCGGTGGGCGCGAAGAGGACCCATGTCTGCGACTCGTCCTGCTGGCGCTCCTGGGTTATCGGAACCTCTCTTCTCGGGAGCTCCTGCTCGTCGACCGAGGGCCGGACGACGCGCTGGATGGATTGTCGTGTCGGTTGGTGGAAAGCCATGAGTAATTACAGCTCCCAATGGAATTCGTCGTGATTTGTGTCGTGTCGTGATGTTTGGGTTCTGATAAGGACCAAGTAGACAGCCCGCTCAGGATAAGATGGATCGGTGTAGGTGAGGGAAGTGGACCCCCCTATGTCGGCCTATGTCGGGGGCTTGCAGCGGCTGTCTGCAAACAGGGTGGAACGGCGGTGGTTGGGGCTCGCAGCAAGAACCTTGAACAGGCCAAGCTCGACGAGAAGAGGATGGGGATCAAAGAATGTAGGTTCAAAGAACCGCAAGGTGAAGAGAAGAAAGACAGACACTCTGTAGATAACCAGAGGGAAGAGGGTGAATGACTGAGGGAACGTTTGGAGGGGACCAGTGGCCAGAAGAGGGCACTACGCTCATGGGCGTCATCCACATCTAGACGCTGGCAGTTAGGTACAGTAGTCGGGGCTTGATCGGCGAGTGTGGGGGGGCGCTGCGCTCGCGTGTCCCGTCTGGTGGACATTCGATCCATACATCCGCCATAGCCAGCCAGCCCAGCAGCTCAGCTCAGCTGGTAGGCCAGACCCCCAACAACAAAGCAGTGCCGTAAACAATGCCCATCTGTTAAGGTGCTTAAGCTGGGCTGTCTTGGAATCGCCCGGGGCTTGCATGAGCAGCGCCAACACGCTCAGGGCGAAACTGCAACGTGCGAACGCTATGCTCTGACGTGGACGCAATGCTATCCAAGGCATAACCATAGCCTGATGGAATGGGAATTTCCAGCCCTGTCGCCGCCTCAAGTCCCTTGACCGTGCTCACCGGCATTTCGTCTGCATCCATGAGTTGATTCCAGCATCCATGTCATACGGTCCGAATCGCCGCAGCCTTCGAGAAAAAAAAGGGACCATGTTCGCGAACAGCCTCCATCCATGGGTCATGTCCTGTCCCTCAGATAGGTGTCTTATCAGATCAGTGGGCCCTGAGACTGCGAGACGATAAGAGATCTAGCCCGCCACTCTGCAGTAAAGTGACACAACCGCAGCCAGACGAGACCGAGACGGGTGCTCCCAGCTAGAGCGCTCCACCGCTAGCCACTCTATCCGCATCAATGGATGGGTTGGATGCTACACTGAGGGCAGACTACGGGAGCCCCTTCAGGTACATCGCCGCATGACAAAACGAGATTTTTTTTTTCTCTCTCCTTCCAGCGGATCCGATGTCTGCCCAACATAGTATATTCCAAATCTCACTCAGCGGGATTGCATAAGAAAAACTCATGGCATCATCTCTACCCATGCTCGTACAACAATAATGCACCCCTGATGTCTGTCTCGCACGTCAAAGGACGACGCGCGCTACTTGTGACCTCGCTCAAATGGCGTCACAAACCGTCCAAGTGAAGTCATGTGGCCCGGATGAGGCGCCGACTTGACCCTGGAGTGCCCCAACAAGACATTCTGTCTCCGCGAATCGTCTGCCGAGACACACTCACTCTCTATTCTGTTGATATTTGCTGGCATTCACTATGCTTTAAACTTAAACATCATGCTAAGTCTTGAAGACAACAAGACAGACAACAAAGGGCTCTCCAACTCTGATGGTCATGTGGGTTGTCCAACTGAGTTGAGGTCGAGTCATGGTTGTGATGCTGCCACACTGACTAATCGCCCCTTTGCCTTTCAACAACAGATCTGACGCAAAGGGTTGAAATGTGATGACATTCCTTCTCCCTGCGCTATTCTTGCTGCGGCTTCGTCACGTGTATGAGTGCATTTGAGGGACATTGCCATTGCGAGTGGTCAACCATAACGATTGTGTGACGGGCTGCTATCCACTCAAGAACGGGGAAGCATGCATAAGTGATCGTCCATCCCCGTACATATCAGGCAAACAACGCTGCAGTACATACAGCCAGCAACAGGTACGAGACGGTCACCGCATACGATACGGCATGCCTGGGCACGCCAGCTCGGATCCTCGGACAAACATAGCACTCAACGTTACACAAACAGCAGTCAGCACTTCTGTATCTTAAGGGCCGAAAACAATGGTATTCCACGATATCAATTCTCAAGTACCCAGATGTTACACGAGACAAGGAACGGGGCGAGTCTGTTTGCAAGATTTCAATTTGCCGAATCGACACCCTCAACTCAAGACTTCTCTAGAGGTCCTTATTTGACATGCCATTTTGACGCCAGTAAACCCAGATGCCAGCCCAACCATCATTTCTTTAAGCCTCAGACTTGAAAGCGTCGGGGAAGCGGCGCATGTTGTTGGCGAGGTTGCCGTGGTTGGAGAGGAACTGGACGTAAGCACCGTCGACCTTGACGCGGCCAGCAGCCTTCTTCTCGAGGTACTCCTCACGTCGGAGAGGGGTGAAGCCCCAGTTCTTGGAGACAATGATCTTTTGTCGGCCAGGGAACTTGTACTGGGATCGTCGGAGAGCCTCAAGGGCAATGGCGCGGTCTGGTGGTTGATTAGTAACATGATCCAAGAGTGGCAAAGGATTTGTCAGGCAAACTTACTGGCATCACGAGTGCGGACGCTCATGAGAATCTGGCCAATGTTGACACGGGCGACAGTGCCGTTGGGCTTGCCCCAGGCACCACGCATACCAGTCTGCAGTCTATCGGCACCGGCGCAAGACAACATCTTGTTGATACGGACGACGTGGAAGGGGTGAGCACGGACTCGGAGGTGGAAGCCCTCCTTACCGGTGTTCTTGACGAGGTACTTGTTGGCGCAAATACGGGCGGCCTCGAGGGCCTCGGAGCTCAGCTGCTCATACTCGTTGGAGACGAGGTGGATGCAGAGAGGGAAGTCATCGACGTTGGCGCGCTTTCGGCCAAGATCGAAGATTCGGATCTTGGGGTCGGGGACACCACGGTTGAACCGAGACTTGGGATACGGCTGTGAGGAAGAAGAGTCAGTAGAGTTCCAACATTGTCGCGAGCTTCATCGATGGGAGTCGAGGACACCCCGCGGGAGATCGATCAGTCATGAACATTTCGTCATGAGATTTCTCCCCCAAAAAGCTCCCGAAATTCCCATCGATGTCGAGCGCATCAAAAACGCACCTTGTTCTTGCAGTATCGGTAGCAACGAGCGGGACGGCGAGCCATTTTGTCGGATTGTTGGTGATCTGTCCGTAGTTGGGTGATGTGGTGTTTGAGGGAAGACGAACCCGACAAAAGTGATACCGACTGCCTCTTCCTGATTAATCCACCGGGTTGATTTCAAAGCAGAGGTGCGATCCGTGCTCCGCCCGCGTAAACTTCGGCTTAGGGCTCAGGCGAGTGCACCCTAACGCTCATTGGCCGACCGCCCGCCCCGCAGAGCACCCACCTACAGGCTGCCAAAACTCCAAATTCTTCGAACTTTTTGATATTCAACCTCAGCACTCCATCACCCAACGTCCAGTCGCCATCACCGAGTCGCCAATCCGTCAAAATGGCCCCCCAGAAGAAGAGCAAGAAGGATGCCAACAGCATCAACTCCAAGTTGGCGCTTGTTATGAAGTCCGGAAAGGGTACGAAAACGAATTCCTGCGCCGCGACGATAAAACCAATAGCTAACGAAAAATTTCAGTCACTCTTGGATACAAGTCTACCCTCAAGAGCCTCCGATCCGGCAAGGCCAAGCTCATCATCATTGCTGGCAACACTCCTCCTCTCCGCAAGAGTGAGCTCGAGTACTACAGCATGCTGTCCAAGGCCCCCATCCACCACTTCTCCGGCAACAACGTAAGTTGAACTCGCTACGTTTCCTTCATGTCTATCATCTTGCAGCTTCATGCAAGATGGTTCTTTTTTCTTTACTTCTCAGGAATGCTTGCTCGTCAAGCATTTCTCTGGCCTCAAGAAGAAATTCTTGAGGTCTGCCCAGAGAAGAAGTCGTTACGACTTTGGAGGGTTCATAGGCTTACTCGTCTCCCTACAGATTGAGCTCGGTACCGCTTGCGGTAAGCTCTTCCGTTGCTCCACCATGGCCATCCTCGACGCTGGTGACTCCGATATCCTCAGCGACCAGCAGGCTTAAACAGCCAGCTAAAGGAGAATGCATTTCATGGCGTTTCGGGTAAAAAGGGTCCAGGGCATTTGAGGATATACCAATCAATGTGATGAAAAAGCGACGACTTTCAGCGAGAGCATGCCCGCCGCGAAGGCGTGGAGGTTCTCCCCTCGACCTATGTGTCTTGGGCTTCAGCTGGGCTTGGCATCGATTGCCAGTCCAAGTCAAATGAAAAAATAAAGCTCATGACCGTTGTTCCCCGCCATTAGTTGTCTCTGTGCCTGTTTGTGTCTTGTCTTTATGCTGAATGCCAAGTGAAATGTTGTGTGGTCTGTTGCTTGTACAGTACCTACGACCCCCAGGAACCCAGCACAGGCACTTGATGGTAGACAGGGTTGGCATCACGTTTCCGATCTGTTCGTTCATGTCTCTAAACTGCATGTCATTGCTCATCACGAGAGCTATGGTATTTATGTCTGCCTGGACAATATGATACAGGTTGGTCGGTTTCTGTGATACAACAATGGCATGGATATCCTTGACGACCAGTTGGCGCAAGGGATTCTGGCAAATTAGACATTGCCAACGCCCGGTAGCGACGGTCGTCTTCTCACAACGCTCACCATGGCATTGTCAAGTTGCTCCAAGCTCTTGCGCATTGAACTTGTAGTTGAAGCGCGACAAGCAGGGTTTCGAGTATAGTTACGAATGGTTGATAATCTGGCCATATTCAAGTTACAGCACTGTATCATCAACAAGAAACCATTTGTGTAGTCAGCCGCGAAAGCCAGACTCCCCTACCCTCAGTACATATAATCGATTCGTCATAAATCTCGGAGGGCTGCTTTTAACGGGTAGAAGCTCCTTGCGAAATGAAGTCGATCAAGCAGCTTCCAAACACAGGCATCAACATCCCCGTCCAGCATCAAGATCCTTTCATGGTAATTTCCAATCTCTTGATTAGAGGTACCAAACAGAGGTCGTGCACCCGACGCATGGATCAGGCCTTGACCATGCTCAATTTGCGGGAGAAACACAGACAGAGCTTCCTGTTGCCCTGGCCAATGAGTCCAAGGGTGGGCGATCAAAGGGGGAAGCTAGGAACGGTGCTACGTCTGGGCGGGAACCTCCGCCGTCACTGAAGACAAAGAGCAAATGGCACGTTTCACCAAGGAGTATTGGACGTGTCGCAGGCCGCGCAAGAGTGATTAGCTGCTACAGTATGAGTTGCAGCGGAAATACCGTGACGGAGGGGCCCTGCAGCGTTCATCACAGAGGAAGCCATCCATGCTGAATGCAACTCATAAACACTGCCATGCCTTGTGTAGCCTCCTATCTGACACTCGACAGCGCCTTGTTCTTCAGCAATCACTCACTGCCGTGGCAACTACGCAGCCGCATTCCGAGGACACGTACTGAACCCGCACCTCCATCTTCGGCATCACCTCGACTCGACTGGACGCATCCATTTCCTTTTGGCTCTGGTTAGTGGAGCTTGTTTCAATAATAACTGAGGCTTGACTGCCCCAGAATAATTATAACTCGGCTTCTAGACGCTCCAGCGCCACACGCTACCATTACCCCTACCCCGGGCTACCCAATTTGAGGCGCAGCTAGAGGCTCCCACCTTCGGGCACTCCTATTTCGCCCTCCGCTCTGTTGAGTATTTGTGTTCCAGGTCACTTGGGCGACGTGCAGCAAGCCGCACAGCACAGTCTCGACAATCATAATCAGCATATTTACTTATTTCTTGACTTGGTTGCCCGCGCACCATTTGTTTCTGAGCATAGCACCTGCTCTTCTCTTTATTCTACGTCTAGAGCGTTTGTCACAGTGACGCTCATTATCGCGACATGTCTGCCGCTACCAAGAAGCCCCCGGCTGGCGGTGTCGGTCGGGTGTCCCACGCCGACTCGAGCCCTTCCCCATCTCTATCTCGCTCCAACTCCAGGGCATCGACCCCTACCAGTGGACATGCGCGGACTCGATCGCTACGAACCGGAACACCTGTTTCTGCCCGTGCTGCTGCCGCTCGGAGGGACACAGGGCTCAGCAACGCCGAAGCTGATGCCCGAGCCGAAGCCGCTGCTGCTCTAGAGGATCTGCAGAAGCGTCTAGAGAAGGAGGAGAAGCAGTCACTTCAATATCACCGCCAGGCTGAAGTTCTACAGTCAAAGCTCGATGAGTCGGTCAAGGAGTCGGCCAAGCTGGAGGAAAAAGCCCACGAGTTTGAAGAGCAGATCGAGACGTTGAAGAACGAGAAGCGAGAAATGACTCGCCAGATGCGAGAGATGGAGTCTATCTACGAGGCAGAACGCAGTTCCATCCTTAAGGAGAAGGAAGATATGTCGAATCGAGAGGAGGAGATGCAAGCCATGATACAGAGGCTCAAGGACAGCCTAGCCCAACGGAACAGTACGCCCGAAGAGAACCGCCCGTCGAGACAACGTACGCATACGAGACTTGCCTCGTTTGATATCACGATGCTAACGTATTTCAGATACAGCCAGTTCATCCCCCTCTCTCGACAGTGGCAGCTTTGCCCCACCATCCTCCATACAACGAAGTGACTCACGGAGCAGCTCCAAGCTCATCCTCCAGAAGGATAAACTGATCGAGTCTCTACGTCTGGAACTTGCAGAGGCTCAGATTAAGCTCGTTGAGTCAGAGAACCAGGGCGGCGGCAGGTTGCACGAGGTTGAGCGTCTGCTCATGGAAGCTCGCATGGCCAATGCTCGACTTATGGAAGACAACGAGAGTTACCAGCTTCTTCTTCAGGAGCGGACTCTCAAGGGCGACTTTGGTCAGAACGACTTTAGTTATATGGGCTCTAATTCCAACCAGGACGCACTGAATGCTCTCGAGGGCAAGACTGGAGGCTCCAGCCTTGCCGATGAGCTCTCATCAGCTAGCGAGGCCGAAGCCCATGAACGACACGAGAACGACCGACGCCTAGAGAACGAGCTCAAGTCCATGAAGGAGCAGAACAAGGCCCTTACACTATATATTAACAAGATTATTGAGCGCCTTCTTCAGCATCAGGACTTTGAGTCTATTCTGGACCAGTCGAGCGATCTGAAAATCCTCCCGGATACCAACAAGGACCTCCCTCTACCGCCTACCCCATCATCAGACAAGCAGCAGTTTCCGCCCAATCTGCTACAGCGGGCCAAGTCCATGGCTGTTGGCCCTACGAAGACAAGACCGAGACCTATCTCGGTCATGTCACCTTCAACCACCTCGAATCACACCGACCCTGACAAGGCTCCTAGCATCCCTATCGGACTGACGCGATCAACCAGCACGAGGAGATCGCGACCTCAGAGTGACCAGTTCACGGGGGCGGCCAGTCTCGTCAGCCAGATGTATAGAGGACCAGACGGCCCCGTCTCTCCGCCCCTGGGCACACCGAGACACTCGCAGACCTTCTTCTCGCCGCCCAACATGTCAGGCAACCCTAATGCGGCCGCTCGTATCCCTAGCGGAACCTCTGTGGCCACTTCTGGAAACTTCCCTGGCATGAGGAGTGAGACGTCGAGCTTGAGCGGAGAATCTGGAGACATGTCTACGGCTTCTTCGCAGTCACCTCCCCGATCCCACTCTGATAGGCACACGACGTCTTTTGCGGGAGGCAAGCCACGGCCACTGCGACTCGTCCAGGAGAACCAGGAGGCCGTCAAGGAGAATAAGAGGTCGAGCTGGTACTCTCCGTTCTCCTGGGGCGCCAAGAAGGATGAACCCCAGGTTCCATCCAGCAACCCAATTCCTGAATAGGAGACGAGTCGGACCCGGAGGTAATGATGATGAGGAGCGAGTTGCTAGCTTGAATGGGCGTGACGGCGGGTTGGATATATACATTCACGGGGCATCCATAGGGACTGATGACTGGACATGTACGATTTACGTCATTAGATATAGCGGCGTTGGGTTCATGGATTATCGCAGGCTCTATCGACACTGTCTCGTTATGCACTTTTTGAGATGGGCGGTGTTTTTTTTTTGGGTAACGTCTTTGTTTGGTTGTCCTTGGGATAGAGATAGCATTGATGATGCCCTGTAGAGATTATATGGTTGCTGGCTGGCTGGTTGTGATGAGGCGTGACGGTTGGGGAATGACACTCATGCTCCGTAGTTATAGTTGAATATTGAATGATGCCCCTCTATAAGTTTTGTTGTCGAGTCTGTGCAAGTCACGTCTGGAGTTTGGTGAGATGGAGCCGAGTTGTTACGGTTGCGCAGCTCGAGGCAGTTAATCAACCGAGTTGTCAACGTCAAGACTACAGTGACAACAAGTTACAGCGTTAATGAAGGTATCACGAGTTGATGAGGGCCGTATCAAGTCCAGCAGCTCACAGCTGAAACTACTCGTTCATATGATATCACTGGAGACGTGATGGAAATCCCGTGGCCGATGACGATTTTCTGCACATGGGACTTTGTGCTACACTAGCCCTAGCAGCCGATATCGTCCTCCTGCCATGACCCCCAAGCCAAGGGACCAACAAGAGTCACGCACCGGAAAGAGACCCTTTGTGCATGCTGTACAAAATCAATAGCCTACGAAAAAAATGGGTGCTACGATGCGATGCTAGGCAGAGTCCACGTCAATACCCCAGCAGGATAGGTTGGAGTAGAAGAAAAATCACTCCATAAACTGTGATGTGTAAGGCGCCTATTCGCAAACCACTACATGCGCTGCCCGCATAGGTAGACACACCCCCAAGCAGCGACGGACAAGTGGCCGGGCAGAAGACTTGGGCGTGACGGGTTATTTTTTTCACGTCTGACAGCTCAGCCCGGCCTGATGATCCGCGCAGGAACCCGAGGAGGCGATAGGTCCGGCGTGTCAGAAGCCTCTTTTTTAGGGGATGGGATAGATGATGGGCGCGTGGGGTTTGGGCGTTATTTCTTTGGGGGTGAAAGAGTGGGATGGTTTGATATGAGAGAAGGAGAGTCACTATCGTCATACAACAAGATCCAAGACAATATGTGTTTCTCATGTGTAGAGGTGTTGGCGATTACTGGGACGCATGCTTGGGGTTGCGTTGCGTCATGAAGGGTTTCCTAGGCACCCCAGGCTAAGTACTCGCAGAATCAGCATGCACGTGTCATGCGATTCGTCCTTGACCCGATCCTCTGCCTGGTCCATCTCGTTGGTTTGGTTTTGGTGTATGTATAAGGTTGCTGTTCGCTGTCAGAGCTGGCTAGAGCTAAAGATAAAGTACTACAACACCTACGTGTACAGGCTAGAGAAGCCAACAGTG